TAGTGCTTTATAGTCCATAAACTAAGTAGGCGGTGAGACTTGTGTTCTTGAGGAATGAGGTTGGCCCACTTGGGCGGGGCTCAGTGTAAAGGCTCCGGTTCTCCACTAGATGACGCTGCTAGCCTACTGGGGTGGAGTGTTGTGGCACTCGTAGGTGCATAGGTGCATGCGCGGGAGCGGTGAAACTGGTGCCACCCAGCTACCCAGTCCCTAGTATTGGAACTCTGTTCTCCTTGATCAGCTGTCGTGCACCCGTCTTCTGTCTTTAGCTTTTGTCCACTCCCCGCTTTTTCACTGTCTATGACCAGGCCCCAGGCAGTACCTCTCTCCTGAGTTTTGTCTCAGATGCGGCTGTTTTCCCTGACCCCTTACTTCTGAAGGACTGCGTCTTTGACCCATTCCGCCCCTCTATGGGAGGGTCTTACCGAGCAATGGCCGAATGCTGGCTGCAACCAGGAAAACTTGCCGGATCCTGCTGCTGCCAGTGCCCCGAGACTGCGGCCAGGTGCCAGCCCGCCCCAGAAAAAGTTTGCTAGATAGTGTAGCAGCAGCTTTTCAGGGATTACGGAAAATCACAACACACATCTGGCACCAGGCTTCACCCTTAATGACCTTGTTCCAGCACCAGTGAATGTGGCCGTTTTCTGGGGCTGCTGGGGCCAGGTGGTTTCAACAGTCTCTACCAAATGTCCTTCCAGCAGTGGAACCACGTTTCTGCATGTGGCCCAAGAACCTCTCGGACCCCACCCTGTTCCTGGGGATTCACCCTTCCTACCAGAGCACCGCCAGGTATGGAGCTGCGGAGTTGCAGACTTTGTGCTCCCCTTGTTTACAGTCTTAATGGAATTTAAACCCACTCCTTTCTCCTTTCTCCCTTTTTAGTTTAGTCCCTGCGGCTGTTTCCAATTTTCCACTTTCTCTCCAGCTGCTTTTTGGGAGGAGTGCTTTTCCTGTATTCTCTGCCCCCCCAAACCCCCCCCCCCGTCTCTGTCCTCTCTCTGCTCGCAAAAGCACCTCCCTTCCCTCGCCTTCTTGCTCCCCAAGTTCACTGATTTCTGTGGTTCAGGTTGTGCAGATTGTTGTGTTAATCCTCCAATCGACCTAAACAACATACTTAAACCACCACTTCTTGACTATATAATGACTATTATAGAAAATGAAGATCTCACTGCTGCATTTTCTTTGTCTATACTCTGAAAATCACCGTGTCACCATTTTTATTTAAATCACTCTCCAGTATTCACATTGCTGTGACTATATAAATATTATTCCCAGCTGTGCCCCATAGTGCACTGTATTTCATTTCCTTTCTTTTATAACTTTTTATCATTTTATCAGTTTCTCCTTTGTTCATTTGCTTAGTTTTCTATAAACTCATCAGTCACTGACACCACAGTTTGGTATAGAATGGTTACACTCCTCTCAACTTAGTAAAACCTGTAAGGTAATTGGCAATTCCACTCCCCCAGCCCCTGTGGACACATCCCTCCTGGAGACCTCCTTCTGGGGCTTCTGTCTGGACTGGCTTTCTATGTGTTTCTTCAGTGTTATCTTAGGAATTGCCTTTGAATCTCCTCTGTTTTCCCAGGCTTTCTCTTTCTTAGTTACCCTTTGTGGAGTATGGCCACAAATTCCTTAATGCTACTCCCACTGAGAAGTGTGGTTGTGTCCCCTCCCCTTGAATCTGGGTGGCTTTGTGACTGCTTTGGCCCACAGAATATGGCTGAAGTGACAGCATGCTAGTTGCCAGGCTCAGGTCCGAAGAGACTGACACCTTTCACTTCCTGTCTTTTGAGGTCCTGAGCGTCCATGTAAAAAGGTCTGCTAGCCTGTGGCTGGTCCATGGAGAGAGGCTGCAGGAAGAGAGGTGAAGAGTTGCTAACCATTCCCAACGGCTCCAGCTCTCAGCTGTTGAAGTCATCTGAGCTGGGGCTCCAGACACTGTGAAGCAGAGACAAGCCATCCCTACTTGTTCCCGTGTGTCCAAATTCCCGATAGGAAGCAGAGAGATAGAAGAATACTGATGCATTGCTCTTTTAAGCCGCTAAGTTTTGGGGTACATGGTTACACAGCTATGGAGAACCAGAACAGTCTTTCATCTAATAGCTTCCTGAGAAAGAATATAAGAGAAGTCACTTTTGGAGATTTTTGAGATTTTTATGTCTGAAGATGTTCACCATCCAATTGACTGAGTGTTCTTCTGGGTATAGAATTCTAGGCTGGAAATAAAATTTCCCCCCGATTTTTAAAGGCTTCATGCCATTCCTTTTGGCTATGTATCCAGCATTGCTATTAACAGATGTTACCTCTTCTGCACCCTGACCTTTTATAAATGGCTTCTTTTTCTTCCTTTTGGAAGCCACAGCATTATGAGCATTCTTCTTTAGCACCGGGTGTTGCATCATTTACAGAGCGATCTGATGTGGGTGTCTTTTGCTTTCAGTGTGTCGGGCATGTAATGGGCTCTTTAATCTGGAAACTCACGCTCTTCAGTTATTTGCACTATTATCTGGAACTCCTTTTGTTTAGATGTTGAAACCCCTGACCTTGTCCTTTGATTTTCTTATCCTTTCTTCCTTATTTTCCATCTCATTCTTTATTTTTTTGTTCTACTTCCTGGGAGATTTTCTCTACTTATCTTCCAACTCTTCCTGAGTTAAAAATATCTTCTGTCATATATATTTTTTAATGTTTATTTATTTTTGAGAGAGAGAGACAGAGAGAGCGAGCGAGCATGGGAGGAACAGAGAGAGAGGGAGACACAGAATCTGAAGCAGGCTTCAGGCTGTCAACCTGTCAGCCTGTCAGCTGTCAGCACAAACGTGGAGCTTGAACTCACGAACCGTGAGATCATGACCTGAGCCAAAGTCAGATGCTTAACTGACTGAGCCTACCAGGCGCCCCTCTTTGTTCCTTTTTGAAATAACACCTGTTCTTGTCTTCTGATTTCAAAATCTCTTACATTTTTAGATGTTCCTTTCTATTCCTCTGCTTTGTCTCTGTTTCCTTTGGTTTTCTTTTTTCCATTTGTACCTTTGACCTCTGATTTTTGTGTTTGAAGCTTTCCTTAAATGTCTAGTCCATCTTGGCTGTTTGCTCACAATAGGAGCAAAATAAAAAATACAAGTAAAATTCTGATTGTAAACAGGCAGGGTTGCTGGCCACAGGCTTTCATCACAGAGTAGCCTCTTTCAGTGACAGATCAGTATTACGTTTTGTTTTGGACAGAGTTCCTTTCTCTAGAAAGGACTCTTTTAGTTTTCTGAGCAATGATGGGTAGAGGATGAAGGACAGACAGGTCATAATTCTGGCTGCCTAAAGTGACCGTGAGCAGGGCTCCTCCCTACGTGACTTTAGGCTAACTAGAAAATGCTCCTCTCCTAAGACATTTGACTTCTGTTTGCTGGAGAATGCATGTTAACTCTGATTTTGTTAGAACAAGTCACTTTATAGCCATCTGCTGGGAAGTTGTCAAAGCTGCCCATGATGTACAGGCCATTCCTGATGTTTGGTTATGTCCTCAATGTTGGTAAGTGGGGCCTCTGGCTGAGGGGTCTCCCCCTGGCCCCACTGTTCTCAGTGTGCGTCTTCTCTGTTGCTCTCTCACGTCTCCTTCTCCTGACAGTGAACCTTCAGGCTGTGATGAGCTGGGGGAGGGGACTTGGAGCTGTCAGAGGTGCCTGGAGCCTCCAATCCCCAAGCCTTAGTGGAGTTCAGTTGTACCAGCTGGTTGACTTCCCGGCCCCATAAACTTGGCATTCTCTGTTCTGCGATGTCTGCTCCCTGTTCACCTGCCTGGTCACTTTTTGGCTGCCAATATGTTGTTGCTATCCTTTGTCTGCTGTCAGTTTCTCTTCAGTTCTTGGTTGGCCCATGTGGGTAGTCACTCCTGTTTCGGGTGCAGAGACAGAAACACAGCTCACATTGGCTTCAGGCGCAGAGGCTGGAATTCAAGTGCATGGGTGGTGCTATCAGGAGCCCAAGCATTGGGCTCTGATTACCTGTCAGTCTCTTCGTAACGATGGCTTTATGGAGCACGTGCAAACCTCTGTTTGTTCTGAAACTGTCTGTGGGCTTACTAAGGGCGCTGCAGACTCCTTGGTCCCTGAGTGCTCTCCTCACCTCCTCCTTGGCTGCCATGGGAGAGTATTGACTCAACCTCTTCTTGACTCTTGAAGGATCTCAGGCCTTGAAGTCTGGGTTGTAATTAGCCCCCAAGGGAATTTCCATGTCCATCTTTCCAGTTCCCACTTACTTGCTTTTTTTTTAAAAAAATTTGTCTGTTTTTATTTTATTTTTGAGAGAGAGAGAGAGAGCACGCACAGAAGTGGGGAGAGGCAGAGAGAGAGGGAGACACAGAATCCAAAGCAGGCTCCAGGCTCTGAGCTGTCAGCACAGAGCCCAACATGGGGCTCGGACTCGTGAACTGCGAGATCATGACCTGAGCCAAAGTCAGATGCTTAACTGGCTGAGCCACCCGGGGGAGGGGGGGGTCCCGGTTCCCATTTACTTGTAAATGGACAGGTAGGTGGATAGGTGGCTCTCAAGGTTCAGCAGGGGACCCTGGCTCCTGTGCATGTTGCTTAACCCACTGAGGGTGATTCCTACATAGCTGTCGAATGGGTTGTTGTTGAAGATGAGGGGTTTCCACTTTGGCCCCTGCAGACCACGTGTACCATAACGTTCAACCAAAAGCATCCTTTGTCACCACAGCTGGAAGCACAAAGCCCAACAAGCTAGCAGACACCACCATTCCATGGGCAGGGCACAGCCCTAGGAGGGCGTCAAGGCCTGCTTATGCCTGTCGACCACAGATCTAGCCATCCTCCAATACACTTAGTTAAGTGGTGCTGCGCGCCCATTTCTGTTTTCTCAACCAACCTCTCTTGTGTCACTTCAGCCTCAGCACCTCTTATTCGCACCCCCCAAAATAATCCTCTTTGTTTGAGATTTCAAGTCCCCTTTCTAAGCCAGATGCCCTCCTGGAGGCTGGGATCACAATGATAGCCTGGAGCTATGAGGAGCCACCCCTCGGGCTGAGCTGGTGTGGCACCCTCAGAGTCCTGGTGGGCAAGGTCGAGCCAGCAGCAGTCTCTGGCATGCATACCTTTACCTAGTGAGGGAGCATGTCTGAGTTTGTTGAAAGTTCCTATCTTTTGTCTTGGGTGATTGTACCTGTTCCTGTCTTCCGCTCATTTGGTCATATATCTCCTTTCACTTCCTTCCTGCTCCCTTCCGACCCTTTCCTCCTTACGTCCCCTTCCTGCTCCCTCCCTCCTGAGGACTTCCTCTCTCAGCCCACACACACCCCACTTCTCAGCGGATCCTGCAGAGAGACCCGGTTCTTGCTCCCCTGCCTTCTCACTGCCCCGGCAGCCCGTCCTGACAGAACCAAGGAAAGGTAAATGCTAAACCGAAAGCTTTCTACTGCAGAAAACAACCCTGCCGTCCCTGGGGAGGCAGGAACGGCTCTCTGGCCACCGGAGGTCTTAATGATAATGTGTGAAAGCTCTCTCAGTGTCACGCTGTTTGGGGACCCTCCTTCTCCTCCGGTGTCTTCCAGTCTAGAGGCTGAGCTCCTTGAGGGTAGGAACAGGCCGGATCCGTTTTGAGTGCCCCGTGTTTGGTGTGGTGCAGACGCTTACCGAAAGCGCGGGAAGGAAGACCGAAAGGAAGGATGGAGAGGGAGCATCTCTTCCCCCTGCAGTCACTGGCCGGCAGGCCAAGGATGCGGGAAGGTGGATTGGCAATGCCTCCCGTCAGGGATTCCCGTCACATTTTTGTCTCTGGCTGGGAGGATCTTTTCTCCCGCCTCGCTCCTTTCTCTCTCTCTCCCTGCCTTCTTTCTGCTACTTTCGTGGAGTTTGCCACTGAGCAAGTGTACTTCTCTGTGGTTGAGCGAACCCCACAGCTACAATTAAACCGCAGTGCTTAGAAAACCCTTCCCGTAGCGTTTTCTGTCACCCTTGTTGGTTCAGGGCCTTAGTCTTTGACACTTACCACAGGATGATTTAACGGTTTCTGTTTCCATTCAGGGTCAGGTCATCCAGGCTGTGCGAGGGCTCACGGGGGTGGGTGGAGGCTCTGGAAGGTGGAAGGTCAAGTTGTGAGGCAGCTGTGGCACTTACTGGAAGACTGAGGGTTTCTCTTCTCGCTGCTTCTGGGGGTCTGTTCTTCACTGCTGCCTTTCATTTGTGCGAAGGCCTGGCAGTGGGTCCCGCCTCATTTCTTAAGGGAGACGGAGCGTTTTGATTTTTGCCATTTTCAACGAGAAGAGAGTGACCGAGGGAGTTTAACCTGAGCCAAGCTGGAGATGTCTCCCGAAGCAAAATGATAAAAGGGACCAGGACAAAAGAACAGGCTAGCGAAGCAGAGGCACCAGAGTTGATTTCCAAGTTCTTGTCAGTATTCACTCCAGAACGTGGGTGCCGCCCAGATAAGGCTCGGCACCAAGGATATTTCTTGTCAGGAGGGCATTCACGCTTGGTATCTGAAAATGTGCTTTCCATTGCCCTAAAACTGATTTTTGATTTAGATTTTGAGAGGAAAAAAATAACACACAACTGCTTTTTTATTTATTTAAAAAAAAAATTTTTTTTTTCAACATTTTTTATTTATTTTTGGGACAGAGAGAGACAGAGCATGAACGGGGGAGGGGCAGAGAGAGAGGGAGACACAGAATCGGAAACAGGCTCCAGGCTCCGAGCCATCAGCCCAGAGCCCGACGCGGGGCTCGAACTCACGAACCGCGAGATCGTGACCTGGCTGAAGTCGGATGCTTAACCGACTGCGCCACCCAGGCGCCCCCACAACTGCTTTTTTAAAGCGGTTTTCGGTTTGTTGTGTTTTTACAAGGTTTTTCAAAAAATGCACAAAGATCTTTTTTGTTGTTGTTATTGTCGCCTTGTTTCTTGTCTCTTTTCAAAACGGACTTAATTTTGGAATAATTTTCAATTTTTAGAAAAATTGTGAAGAAAATAGAGTTCCCGTATACCCCTCAGCAAGTTTCCACTGTTGTCAACATCTGACACAACCACGGTACGTTTGTCAAAACGAAGAGAGCAGCACTGGTTCATTACTATTACCTAAATTCTAGGCTGCATTAGAATTTTCTCACTTTTTCCACCAGTGTCTTATTTCCGTTCCAGGCTCCCATCCAAGATGCCACATTATGTTTTGTGGTCATGTCTCTTTAAGGTCCTCTGACCTGTGACAGATCCTCAGTCTTCCTGTGCTTTTCTTGACCTCGACACTTTTGAAAAGCTTTGGTCGTGTATTGTGTTGAATACCCTCAGTTTGGTCTGTCTGATGTTTTTCTCATGTCTAGATGGAGGTTATGGGCTTTTGGGAAGAGTATGAGGGCAAGTACCCTTCTCGTCAGTCATAACAGGGGGTACGTACTATCAACATCAGTGGCGATGTTAACCTTGAAACCCCGGGCGGGGTAGTGTTTATCAGGTCTTTTCATTGTAAAATGACAGTTCCCCTCTGCAAGCAGGTCGTTAAGCACAGCCGACGCTCATGGGACAGTAGTAGTGGTGTGGAGACAGGTGAAGCCCCACCTGCTAGAGGGGGAGGTAGCTACACAAACTATTTCAGGCTATTCATCTCTTTTCCCTATGTATTTATTTATTTTAACTATTTGTATCAGTATGGACTCCTGCAGATTTATTTTATGACTGTGTCACAGTCCAGTAGGACGTCATTCATTTTGTTGTCCTCATCGTTCCAGCGTTGACCCCAGGGGGCTCTTTCAGTCGTCTCCTGTGTCCCCTTGACACGCCTCCATCCTTGGGGACTTTTTTTTGAAGGACTTCTTTACTTTCTAATACCGCAAGATGTTCCGGGCTCATCTTGTATTTTCTCTGCCCGTTTCTCCAGCGAGCCCGTGTTCCTTTTATTTGAGAATAGTTTTTAGAAACCAAGATCTGTCCTTGAAGGTCTCATTTTTACATAAGGAAATGATGCCCTACCATAATTCCCCTTTCCGGTCATCTACTTTCTTCCAGTTTTATATTTAAAAAATTTAAACATATAATGGAATTGAAAGACTTTAACACTGAGTTCCATATACTCACCACCTAGATCCTACCATGAACATATTATTGTATTTGCTATATTACATGTTTGTTCATTTATACCTCCCTCTATCCACCATAATTCACTCTTGGGATGCATTTCAAAGTCCCCCCTCCCCCCAGATAATTCAGTGTGCATATCATGAACGAGACTTCAAAATGTGTTCAGGTGTTTGTTTTGTCGTGTTTTGCTTAAAATGCAATGCAATGCAAAAATCTTAAATGTCCACTCGCAGAGTTTTGACACCTGCATACGCCTATGTAACTCAAACCTCTATCAAAATATTGAACGTTACTATCACCCCAGAAAGTTCCCTCATGCCCTTTCCACTCAATCCTTGCTTTTATCTTCCCAGAGGTAACCACTGTTGTGGATCTCCCCGCCCCTACTATATTTTAATTTTGTCTGTTTTAGAGTTTAATGTAAGTGGAGTCACACGATATGTTCACTCAGCATATTTTTGGTGGTACATTAATTCAACGTAATCCTGTGCAGCAGTGAAAATGAATGAGCCGCAGCTGCGGTAGATACCAAAGATAAATCTCACTAGCCATGTGGAGCAAAAGAAATGAGACACAAAAGAATACATAGAGTCTAATCTCATTTCTGTAATATTCAGAAGCAGTCAAAAATAATTGATGGAGTTACAGGTCAAGAGCGCAGCTAGCAGTGGGCAGGAGAGAGGGAGTGATGACTGAGACGAGATTCTGTGTGCTGGTGACATAGTGTGACTTTCTTTGACGCGGATGAGGATTATATAGGTGCGTTTTCTTTGCGATAATTCATTAGGCTATCATTTTATGACTCATGTCTTATTCTTGGTGTATTACATATTGTTAAAGTGTTTTAAAAATAAGATATTAGTTCCTGCCCGTCAGTTGTGTGTGTGTGTGTGTGTGTGTGTGTGTGTGTGTGTATGACAATGCCATGTGTATTATTTATCTATTGATATGTCACAAATGACCTCAAAACTTAGCATCATAAAAGGTAATATGTATTATCTCACCCGGTTCCTGTGGGTGGGGATTTCAGAGCGTCTTAGCTGGGTGGCTCTGGGTCTGTCATGAGGTTGCATGAGACTTCAGGTCTGAAGTCCTATGAAGGTTTGACTGGGGCTGGAAGATCCACTCTCAAGATGGTCCACCCACATGACTGTTGGCAGGAGGCCTCAATTTCTCCCCGTGTGGGACTCTCCATAAAGCGACTTGAGTGTCCTCACATCATGGCAGCTGGCTTCCTGCAGAACAAGTGATTCGAGAGAGCTCAGCATAATGTTTTCTAGGTTAATACACGTCATGCATGTGTATCAGTAGTATATTTTTATTGCTAAGCAGTATCCCATTCCATGGGATCACAGTTTATATAATAAATCACAGTTTATAATAAATCACAGTTTATTTCTCTGTTCTCTTAGTGATGGATACTTGGGCTGTTTCCAGTTTGGGACTGTTATGAATAAAGCTGATCTGAACGTTCTTCTACAAGAATTTTGTGAGCATTTTGTTTCTTTTGGGTAAATATCCAGGAGTGTAATTGTTAAGCCATAGGGTAGATACATGTTTAATTTTATGAGAGGTTAACAGGCCTTTTACCAAAATGATTGTATCATTATATATCTTCACAACAAAGTATGAGTTCAGTGGCCCCACATCCTTGTTAGCATTTTATTTTGCTTTATTATTATTTTTTTCTAGCCCTTCAGGCGGATGTATAGTGGTATCTCATTACGGTTTTAATTTCCATTTCCGTGGTGACCAGTGTTGTTGAGCACTTTCTCGTGTGCTTATTGGCCATTTGTATATCTTCTTTTATAATTTGTCCATCTTCTTTTGTAATTTTTCTTTTTTTTCTTAAAAAAAATTTTTTTAATGTTTATTTATTTTTGAGAGAAAGAGACAGAGCCTGATGGGGAGAGGGACAGAGAGGGAGAGGGAGACACAGAATTGGAAGCAGGCTCCAGGCTCTGAGCTGTCAGCACAGAGCCTGACGCGGGGCTCGAACTCACGAACCGTGAGATCATGACCTGGGCTGAAGTCAGACGCTCAACCGACTGAGCCACCCAGGCGCCCCCATAATTTTTCTTTTTTAAAAGAATGTTTGGGGCGCCTGGGTGGTGCAGTCGGTTAAGCGTCCGACTTCAGCCAGGTCACGATCTCGCGGTCCGTGAGTTCGAGCCCCGCGTCACGCTCTGGGCTGATGGCTCAGAGCCTGGAGCCTGTTTCGGATTCTGTGTCTCCCTCTCTCTCTGCTCCTCCCCCGTTCATGCTCTGTCTCTCTCTGTCCCAAAAATAAATAAACGTTGAAAAAAAAATAAAAGAATGTTTATTTATTTATTTTGAGAGAGAAAGAGCATGAGCAGAGGAAGGGCAGAGAGAGAGAGGGAGAGAGACAATCCCAAGCAGGTTCCACGCTTTCAGTGCAGAGCCCGACCTGGGGCTCCGTCCCACGAACCGTGAGATCATGACCTGAGCCCAAACCAACAGTTGGATGCTTAACCAACTAAGCCACCCAGGCATCCCTCCTTTAATTAAAAAAAAAATGTTTGTTTATTTTTGAGAGAGAAAGAGAGAGAGAGAACACAAGTGGGAGCGGGGCAGAGAGAGAAGGGAACAGAGAATCCGAAGTGGGCTCCTCACTGATAGCAGCAAGCCCGACGTGG